GGATAGTTATCTAACATTGATTGAGTTTACCTACAACAATAGTTTTCATTCGAGCATTGGTATGGCTCCGTTTGAGGCATTGTATGGTAGGAGGTGTCGGACACCGTTGTGTTGGTATGAATCTGGAGAGAGTGATGTGATTGGACCAAAAATTGTCCAACAGACTTCGGAAAAGATTAAGATGATTCAGGAGAAGATGAGAACTTCTCAGAGTCGTCAGAAAAGTTATCACGATAAGAGGAGGAAAGATCTTGAGTTTAGCGAAGGAGAACATGTTTTTATGCGAGTTACTCCGATGACTGGTATTGGTCGAGCTTTGAAGTCAAAGAAGTTGACTCCACGTTTTATTGGTCCGTTTCAGATTACCAAGAGAGTTGGGAAAGTTGCTTATCAGATTGCTTTTCCGCCGTCACTTGCAAATTTGCATGATGTTTTTCATGTATCTCAGCTAAGGAAGTACATTGCTGATCCGTCTCATGAGATTCGGGTAGACGATATACAGGTACGAGAGAATTTGACTGTGGAAGCGGTACCTGCGAGAATTGAGGATCGGAAGTTGAAACAGTTGCGAGGCAAGGAGATTGCGTTGGTAAGAGTGGCTTGGGGAGGACCAGCAGATGGAAATATCACTTGGGAGCTGGAGAGCCAGATGAAGAACTCGTATCCCGAACTGTTCGTCTAAGGTATGTTTTCGAGGACGAAAACTCTTTTAGTTGGGGAGAGTTGTGATACCCCAAATTTATTCAAGTGTTAAATAATTAGGAATTTAATTATTAAATTAATTAAAGGCTTAATTAATAATATTTTGGATTAAATGGATGAATTAATTATGAAATTAAAAAGGAAGACCGGGGGGTGTAAGGTTGAATTAAAGGTGTGTGAAGTAAAAAGCTCTACTAAATAATAACTAATTTATTACTATTATTTGGAAAATAATAAAAGGAAAAGAAAAAGAAGGTTATTTGGAAAAAAGTCACTATACGTGAAATTGGAGAAGAGAAGAGAAGAGAGGAAAAAGCCAAACGCCGTGAATTCGAAGGATCATCGCGGGGTAAGGGGTGATTTCGATTAATTACTATGCCTTATAGATTTTGGGATCAATAGAATTGATTAAGCATGTTAGGAATCTCAATTTAGGACTTTCTAGGTTTGTAGAATTTGTCCCTAATGTTGTCAAATTGTGTGGAATTGAACCAATTGCATGATATAGGATTGTTAGGAATGGTTGAATTGTGTTATTTGACATTATGTTGATGTTACTTGGGTGATTCTGGTGTTAATTGATGTGGTCATTCGTAATGGAATATTGGAATTGAATCATGAACAACCTGCTGTCAACAGAATTAGAGTTTCTGCTACAGGTGGTCGCAGGAACCGGTTCCCAGTAGGGAGGAACCGGGTTCCACTATGCGAAGTTATAAAAACTGGCAAAATTGCACGTAGGAACCGGTTCCTGTATAGGTAGGAACCGGGTTCCCATACATTTTCCAGAAGGGTAATTTTTGAGCTTCGCAGGAACCGGTTCCTGTATATGTAGGAACCGGGTTCTGCTGTAACTTTTTGAAAAATATTAAACTTTAAAAATCCGTAACTTTCAAACCGTAATTCCATTTTAGTCGCCGTTTTGGACGTTGTTTCTTAAATTAAATACTCTATTTTATAAAATGAAGAAAATAACTGTAACTTGATTTTATTTTGAAAATGTGTTGACTTTCCGATTGCGGTTTGTTATTATGTGCATATTTGGTGTATATGCAATGGTGTATCCATGATAATTGATTGTATCAGGTCTTGGTGGATGAAGTGCATGTTTATGCTGTTTGATGTGTGTATGATAAATAATGATATCATGTTTTTTTTTTTGGTTTTGGTTCAGTTATGATAAATTGATGTATTTCATAGACTAATTTGATGTTGCATGCTGGTGATGTGCGTGCATATGCATTGTTTTGGTGAAGTTAATTCCCATTGTGTGGAATTTGACTTGTATTGCCGTTAACCGATACCCGGGTGATGATGGGTGGTTAGGATGGATTCGTGTCCGGGTGTTTATGGATGAATCGATGGTTGCTGTATCCGGTTGATGATGGATCAGTGTTGGGTGACTTGGTTACGTGATTGGTACCACATGCATTGTGTCTGCATTTGTGTTTGCATGGAATTGTAACATGTTAGGATGTCTTCCAGTGTTACAATTCTTTGGTTGATTATTTATTTGTGCATAATGACTTGTATGATTGGAACTGCGTGTTGAATCTGAATTTATGCTAAAATGAGTGAAATAATATGCTTGTGATATAATGTTGATTGAGAAGCTTATAATGCATGTTAATTATGAGAAATCTCACCCTTACTTTAACAATTTCAGATTAAAGTTAGCAGCTCAGGAGTTGGTGAGGATGGCTCTAGAGCTATGTTACTTTAAGTCCGCGTGTCAGTGTCGTGCTCTGATAGGTTGTAACACTGGGGGAAACGTTTGAATGATGAGTTTTATTTTATACTCTATTGTTTAATTTATGTTAGGAATACTTATGAAGTGAAGTTATTCCGGTTTTGAGACATTTCCGCTGTGTAGAACATGATATTGATTTGAATATTTATCTTAATAATTCCTTCAGTAAAGCATGATAACTGTAGATTTGAGGTTTTTATATTTATCTTGGATTGTGACATCCCTGTTTTCCATGTTACTCTGATTTAATTAATATATTCGCGGGTTATTTAGAAGGGGTGTTACATTACGTGCCTAGAGGATGGATTAAGTGGTTGGTTTGTGCGACCCACATTCTCCTTGAAAATCGGAGCCATGATGAACTTTTCTTGTTTCACACGTCCCGAAGTGACATTTTTATAAAGTGGTAATAATGACCATGATGGCAGCACAATACTGGGCATAGTGTCGAGGAAATTAAAAAACACCACTATATCTAGTTAGTCGAAAATGGCAGTGTTAGGGGGAAATTTGTTAGCCTAAATTTTCGACCATAGTGAGCTTGGTGAATGAAAAGAGAATTTCAGAGAAAACTAAGTGAATCTTAGGAGTTCAAGAAATCATTTCGACATAACACCATCAAGTCAAGAAGTAGAAGTTTCAAGCATAAGGCAGAAGCGAGGACTTAGCGTTTTTCAAGAAAGATTGTCCAAGAACTTCGACAACAAACAATGCAGTCAAGATCTTAATGGAAAGGTTGACATGGAACTTTGATAGTAGTGGATTAGGCAAGAGAAGAGCGACACAATTTTTTGGATCTTATCCAATAGTACATTTGGAGTCAAATTCAAGGACGAAAAAACATGTAGCAAAGACGTGTCAACTTCTGGGGAGAAATCCGTTGGGAGCAGTTAATTTAGTAGTAGTATAATTAATAGTTATAGTGTTAGAATTCAGGGTGTCAAAATCATTACGATAACTCACAAACTCAAAGTATCCAAGCGTCACAATTGAGAAAAATGTATGATATGGAACACCGTTTTATTTACAATTTAAGCAATTTCACTTTACTTTAAGTTACCCTTTTTTCTGTATTTTATCTTTACCTTTTCACCCTACTTTTACCCAGATTTCGACCAAGTCGAAATCCCTTTACTTTCTGCAAATTTTACAATTTTACTTAGTAGAGATCACAATAGATTTCACTTTACACTAAACACTCAAACAAAGCCATAAGTATTTTATACACATATATCCTAGGATCAACTAGCCGATCCTGCGAGTAACTATTTTGGAAGATTAGCGCTTGTTTGCAAAAATTCACAGTAAACACCCCAAAGTATATTCTTAATGCAATCTAAATTAACCACAATAGTTACCAACTTCTAATAATCGATTACCACTACATTCAGAGTTTAATTTCACTTGTTTTCCACAAGTGTTTCACTCCTAAACCCAATTTCTTCAACCTAAACCTATCTCAATTCAATTTTAAACATATACTATTTTAGTTAAATACCTTATACCATCGATTCAATATCTATCTCTTCGATCACTATTATCACCAATAACCAACATTATGATATTATAAATTAGTAATAACATCATATATATCATACTTACAAAAATTTACAGAATCAATCATGACATAATCAACATAAATCTAACACGGGCTAAGGGAAACCCCAATATCCTATTTCTAAAATATCAGTTATAGAATAATCTTCTCCTTATCTCGATTATGCACAAATTTCTCGAGTTTTTGATGATGGGAGAACATTCTCATTGCACAACTAAGATTTGCCTCCTTTCTTTCTCATTCTCTCTTAAAAATAAGTAGGATTTCCTCCATATCTCAATCTCTCCCTTTTTATAACAATTAATCCTGCTTTATTTTTAATTTTATTTAGCTCCCTAATTTTCCCCCCCTCTTTTTCATCTCTAGAATTTCCATTAGCTTATACCATTCCAACTTCCCTTTTATTCTCATTAATTTTCCACTAACCCTTACTCTCTTATTAATAAAAAAATTATGTTTGATAATTGTCATTTAACTTTTAATTTATAGTTTTTTAATTAGTTTTTAGCTTTTTTTTCAAAAGCTATTTGAAATAGTTTTTGAACTTGTAACTTTTAACTTGTGACTTTTTCTTCCATTTATACTCTTATGTCATTTTGTATTTATCAGCTAGTATAACAACTAATTTATCAAACACTCAAATTAATTTGTCAGCTACTAACTACCAACTATCAACTATCAATTACAAATCATCAGCTATCAATTATCAGCTACAAATCATCAACTACCACCTATCTGCTAGTTTTACCAAATAGAGTCTTACTAAAACTTTATTCCATAACAAATTATTTAGTCTCCAAGAATCAACAATCATATAAGATTGTGTAACAGCAAAAACAACAATAACATAATTATTATTCTACCTGAAAAAACAACCATATACTATAACAAAATGTCATGAGAATAATATGAAGTCATTCTCTCACTTATTCAAAAACATGGAAACAAGAGAAACAATAAAAGTGTTGGTGGGTCCATATCTCATCCAAATCAGGAAGTTGAAGAACCTCCTTCGACAGATTCGACAGATTGAGTTGGTGGAACAAAAACAGATGAAGAACCATCTTCATGGATTATAATTGCAGGAATGTTTCCACGTATCACATGTTTTTTGTAGTAAATTCCACAAGCATTGCACAAAGTCTGCATATAAAATTCCATATAGAGCTTCAGCAAAATCACGACATGGAATAAGATTATCAAACTCAAATTCTACACATAGAGTATTTATTTACCCTTGGTCCAATAGGTCCAGAGCGCCACATGGGAGTGATTCTTGCCATACAATGAAGATTTGTGCAGAATCTTGATGGATCAGCTGGACGAGGTTTTTTGCAACGACGATGGAGGCGGGGTACTGGGTTTCTTGGGACTCCATGGTTGGCAATGACGAGGATAGGATCAATAAAATACATTGGTAGAACATGAAAAACATCTGAAGTAGTAGCTGGATGGACTTCATTGTTTGCATCACTTATGTTCTGTTCAGTAAACATTAGTATTGAGAAAAACTAAGTCTCATATTTTAATATATATAAGATTTGAAATAACTTTGAAAAATAGTGACACTTGATTCAATCTTATAATTTAGGTTATGACTAACTTCATCTTATAAAATCGATTTATAAAATAAGAATTGATCCAACTTATAAATATATATTTGAGACTCTAAACACTCTCTTTTTATTGTCAGTGTTAATGAAATTTGTGTATGAATATATATGGTGGATGATTTGATACTGAAAATCTTATAAAAATTGATACAATAAATCTTAAATAAAATGTGATACCAATTTAGAATTTGGATCACCTAATTCAACTCTTACACCAATCCATTGTAAGATGATAATTGTTTATAAAGATATTTTCAAATTATATCTCATATGATATAAGACTCTTAACACATCTTTTCATGAGTTATGATTAATACTAATGGATTTGAAGTGTGAATATAAATAATAGATGGTCAAATAAGATAATCATGATAACATGTAATAAATAGATTTTGAGTAAATTCCAATACCAACTTAAAATTTGAATTTTATAATTCAATTCTTACGAAACCAATTTATAAGATAAATATTGCCCCATTTATAAATATATTTTAAGACCATATTTTTTTAAATACAAAACTCTTAATATAAAAGTTAATGTGGCATTAGATCTTTATCCAATGAGCCACCCACTAATTATATCAATATATCTAATTAGTAGTATGAATTGCAAAAAGAAAAACTTACATCCCATATATTAAATAGAGATAAGACCTAAAATAAATTTATAGAAGAGTTACACAATTTTATGACAATGAATCAATTTAAATTTAAATATAAAAACATAATGAATAGATGTTGCTTACTAACATAGTGAGTTAATGACATGACAACTTTAATTTAACTTTTAAAGTACTATATCAATTTAGAATGAAACAATACACACCGTCTTAAAAGCTGTTTCATCATAATTACGCTATTCAACTCAAATAAGTTTATTTTTTGTTTATAATTTAAAAGTATCAATTAAGGACACATGGCTGATTCTTATCCACATGATTATGTGAATGCAGTAACTAGCTACTACAGCAAATCGTAGTCCATTAACTTGGTACATGTATTAGTACTATGTATAATACTTACTTGAGTTTCATCCTGAGAAACCAATGGAATGTTTAGGTCAATGTCATAATCCATTCTCCTTGCAAATGGAATGTTTAGGTCAATGTCATAATCCATTCTCCTTGCAAAGTACTCACCCATGGATCTAATTCCTACAACATAGATATGTCAATTAAAAAATAACGTTGATAGTAACTAGAATTAAGATGTTATAATGTAGTCTACTCTTCAATATCTATATTCTACGTGGTCAATCTATGTCAATTTTTGCTACTTGATTCTTTAAAATAAAACAATTAAAAATCAACTATATTGTCAAACAAAAAGTCAATTAAATGAAAAGAGTTAATAAAGTTGTAGAAAAAAAATCAACACAAGAGTTGACGCACACGTTTGCAAATAGATAATCAGACAATATATTAAAATATATCGAATAAATTATACGTCGATGATCCAAATCTTCACGATTAAACAACGACGAATACAATTAACAATTCAATAATCGAAAATAAATTAGAATTTTATCACTATAACATCAACATGTATAAAAATATATGTATAAAAGAGTGATTGATACAATTGAATGCTTTATATGTCAAATCATACAAAGATCTTTTAATTACACAAAGATTTTCAAGATGAAGAACACTATCCATCTTATATAAAAAAATTAAAAATTGTAAACATTACAATCACAACACACATGCAATTCAGTTGCATCGAGATCAAGATTTAATTAAAGAGAAACTTACACTAAAGTAGATTGTGAATTAATCCCCTTCTTGACCGCCGCAATATGATGAATGAGATTGCTTTTGAGATTGATAAATTTTATTTATGTAGAAATGTGGTGAAAATAAACCACAAATAAAAAATTTAGGTTTAGACAGTAAAAATAAATTCATCATTATTTAATAAAGATTAAAATTATAATAAAAAATAATAAACATCAAATCTATCTTTACTATATTTTAGGGGTTGACTATCAATCAGACCTTTCGATTTCGGGCCCAAAACCCCCGATCGGCCTAACCCTTGGTTGAAAAATATAGGTCAAATTCTATCTGGTTTAGTCGTTGGTTTTTTTGGGTTCAATTTTTTCTAATTCGGTTTTATAACTCGGTTTATTAGAGTTTTAATAATAATTGAGCCTATTTGATAATAAATCTAATTTTTTTACACATTGGGCCAATGATGGTCCAGTTTTAAATATCTTCAAAAACTATTTTTTTAGTGGTTTGCTTCTTTCACTCTTAGGGCTGCTCGTTTACCGTGGTGAAAAGTTACAATTTGTTAAATTCATGATTTTATGATTGACACCAATTTTGCTAAAACATATTTCACAACAAGATACTGTGACCGATGTCTTGACACGATAGTAATACATCACTGAAGACAGATATTCTGAAAGATGTCATAACATGTTATACACAGTCGCATCCAAGCAAGAATATTTTAGGAACACTACAAACTTTTTTAGAAACTTTGTATCGTAGTTCCTATTTTTGTGGAGAAGATTTTGCAAAAGATTTGCAGTGGGAAAATTGGATTTGCGTGAAGAGTCCAAGTGTAATAAATGGCAAAAAAAATAAGAGTCGCCACTCTTAGTTTTTATCCTAAAGACGAAAATATAAAAAAATAACCATAATTGATGATACAAAGATTCTACGTTCTTGACTCGCTTTAGACGGAGGGAAGGTGTTAGGCACCCTTCATCTAGGTTTTTCACAAGGATACTAGGGTTTAGATTTAAAGGTTTAGAATAAGGGTTTTAATTTTTTTAATTAGTGGACTCGCCAAGATTTTAATCGTATGCCTACGTACCCTCTTGCGAAGAATCAGAGCCCATTTCATAGTTCGAAGTGTTTGGTTGGTGTCTTTTATAGAATTGTGTAAAATTGCTTTCAGATTATCCTTGAACCTTGTCTGGGTTTGAAAAGTGAGTGATCGTAGACGTAATTCACAATTAATTTTGAAAGTAATTCTCTTTAATCCTTTACTGAAAATATATTGAATTTGATTATTGTTAGTTGAAAAATATTTGAATTGTTGGTTAGTTTTTTTGAAGTTGATTTGATTAAAGAGTATGATAAGACATAGAACGGGGAAGTCTGATAAAATCTCCTCATCACGTGACCAGATATTAATCACGTGTTGCTCGTCATGAAGGATGCAGAAAAAGTCTAATATAGTTCAAATTTTAGCCACATATTACTTGCTATTGTGTTTTGATATCTTCGTGAATTATTAAATTAATTTAATTCAATAAAATATTTAGATATTTTATTATCTTTTGATAAATCAAAATAAAAATTTAATCTAATTAAGTAGAATAGAAAAGATATATATAAGGGGTGTGATTAGAAATAAAGGTATGTATTAATGGGCTTAAGAAGGATACTATTTTGATCCGATATTAACCATTTGTGTTGGAGTATGAGACTACTAAATAAAATATGTAAGCCTAATTACAAGGAGCTCACCAATATTAATAGAATTTAATTTATAGGGTAATATTTATGATTGATTGATAATAAAAGAAAAGCTAACTAGTTGTAAATAATGATATTAATAATAATGAAAGAATATAAAAAGGTTGGCGGTTTTCATTCAATTAAATGGCCAGTAATTAATTGACAAGTGGCATTTATTTTGATATGAAAAAGAATAAAGAAACAACACATGTATGTAATATTTGAAGTGAATAAACGAAAACACGATGAACGCAACTCTTCCTCTTTCTTCTAAAATTATTTCTCGAAACACTCCCACAATTTTCCTCTTTCTTCTAAAATTATTTCTCGAAACACTCCCACAATTTTAATATGGAAACATAACAACACTGTAGATGCAAGGATCATGGTGTTCCGACGGGCTGAGGATGGCTTCGTCGGTTGGTGAGCGCGGCAGATATATAGCGGAGAGGCGCGGCTTTGTTGGTAGCCGGCGGTTCTGGGCTTGCGTGGAGGCTTCGCATGTTGCCGGTTATTGGCGACAGTGGTCGGGCTGTTGGCGGTGGATCCATTGCAAATGGGCGGCAACGAGGTTGTGGTTTGCTGATGGGGTGCGACGAAGGAAGCTTGATGGCGGTTCCTGGATTCACTGCTTCTAATCAATCGTTTTCGTTTTTGTTAAAGGAACGTCTTGTCGGACCGCTTTCGTCCGTTTTTTTTTTCTTCCTTTGTTTTAGAGTCGGACTTGAATCTTGTTCATGTGTGGTTGGAAATTAGAATCGTTGAACTTGAATCTCGTTGATGTGTGGTTGGAAATTAGAATCGTTGAAATATGTCCATGTTAATATATTGAATTTAAATTTTTTTGAAGTCCTACATTGTTTTCACTATGTAAGGAGTGTACATGTTTCATTTCAAATTACACTAAAAGTTATTCTATTAATTTTTTCTTTCTCACTTTCATAACTCTACATCTCTCAAAACTATACATCTTTCGAATTGTCGAAACACCATCTTTTTCTCCTTTTTTCTTACTCGTTGAATTTTTCGAGTATTTTCTTAAATTCTCTATAGAGAATTATGTTAATTTCCCCTCATTTGAGTTGAGAAATTTTCAAGTTTAATCTTTTGGATTCTCTTTGGAGAATTATTTGAATTTCTCTTTGATGGAGAAATTATTATGAGTGGTCAAATAACCATTATTAATTTCTCTTTGGAGAATTATTTGAGTTCCTTTTTGTTTGAAAAATTATTATGACCGGTCTTTGTATCAGATGTTGCGAGTGGTGTTGATACCATATTAGAATGGTCTTGTACCATCATATGGTGTATTTCTAGACCGATTATCTATCATGCAAGTAGTAATCGTACAGTATAGAACTGAACTGTTTTATCTTGGAGGCGATGCGGTAGTTCGATTGCTTTGCATAATTTTGAGTAGTGTCGCGAAACGTCTTAAAGAGAGCGATCTAGTCCGCGACTCAACCTGGTAATTTCTTCGGTGGCAAATATTTTAAAATCTGAAAACAATAATTTTAAGACGTTTCAAACTGCCATTGCTACCGAAGAAATTATTGATTCTTTTGTGAATATTGTCTTTGAGAAATCGTTCATGTTTGAGGGAAGTCACTTCAAACGTTGGCAACAAAATATGAAGTTCTTAATGTTGAAAAGAAGTTGTTAACGTTCTGATCGATGACATTATGTTGCTCCTTCTAGATCAATTGAACAAACTAACGGTAGTAAATCTGGAGATTTAGAAGGAACACTTATAGTGTTGAAGTTAAATCTGCTGCACAGATTAAAACAAACGATTTACAACATAGGAAAGAAATCACCTTAGAGAAAGAGAATGAAAACTCTACAAAATCATATTTTGAATAGACTCGCAGATGATCTGTATGATAATTACAATTGATGTGATACTGCAAAACAAGATTGAGAGACTCAGAAAAAGAAGTATGATGTAGAAGCTGAAGCAAAGAAGTATGTTGTTAGCCGCTACTTCAAGTATCGAATGCAAAGATGTAAGGTCGTTGAAGGCTCAATGTTACGAACTTCAAAAGATTGCTTAAAAGATCATCACAAAAGGTATGTGTTTAAATGAACAGTTTCAAATTGGTTTTATTATTGACAAACTACCCCATAGTTTGAATATTTAAAAAAGAAAAAGTCTTGGTTGTTTCAAACAACAAAAAGAAATTTGGTGTAGTTCTGAAGCCATTTGGCAAATGATTAAAGAACCAGAACCGCAATATTGTGAACCGAATTAAGAATGAGAACCCTTCTATGATTCTAATAGCTCCAACTAGGCAACAACCACCACCTAAAAGAAATGACGTTGGTTTCCCTTTGTTTTAACTATGGAAAATCAAGTCATATGACTAAGAAATGTAGAAGTAAGTTTGAACTTGGTGTTGTCCCTAATGCACAGGTCAACCTGACTAATGGGCAATTTATTGCTATAGTCATTGAAATCAACATGGTTGATGGATATGTTGGTTGGTGGATAGACACTTGTGTCTCTCGTTGTGTCTGTTATGATCGTGTTATGTTTAAAACATACACGAATACTAAAGATAAGAAAGTGTTGTTGGGAGATGGCCAAACCACGAATGTTGCTGGAATTGTAGACATGGAGCTAAATTTCACCTTCAAAAATACTTTAATCTTAAAGAACGTTATGCATGTTCCTAAGATTAGAAAAAATATTGTTTCTAGTTTTCTTTTAAATAAGACATGATTTAGTCAGTCTATTGGGGTAGATTTGTACGCCATTACGAAGAATGAAGTTTATATGTTTAAATTTTTTGTAAAGAATTTGAAAATGATATAATAAGAATTTATAGTGATAGAGAAACTGTACGATTCTAGTTTATTAATGAATTTTATACATGGAATTGTAATGAAACGATTGCACCATACTATCTTGCAATGAATGGTAAAGCAGAAAGAAAGAATAGAACTCTTACTGAACTTGTTGTTGCAATTATGATGAATTCAGGTGCTGCACCTCACTAATAGGGGGAAATTTTATTGACTGTTTGTTATGTCCTGAATAGAGTCCCCAAGTCAAAATGTAAGATCTCTCCTTATGAGATATTAAAGAAAAGACAACCAAACTTGTCTTATTTGAGAACTTGGGGTTGTCTGGCTTATGTCAGAATTTTGGTTCCGAAACGAGTTAAACTCGCTAGTAGAGCATATGAATGTGTTTTCATTGGGTATGCATCAAACAGTAAAGCATATAGGTTTTATGACCTAAAGGAAAAAGTGACCATAAAATCAAATGATGTTTAATTTTATAAAGACAAATTTCCTTTCAAATTGAGAAATAGTAGGGACATACAATCGAGTCACATTCTTGTGATAAGAAGCACAGAAAGCAACAACAATGTAGAAACTGAGCTTCGACGAAGTAAAACGAGTAAGAGTTGCTAAAGACTCTGGGCCTGATTATGTGGCTTATAATGTAGAAGAAGATCCAATGAATCTAGAAGCCTTGTCATCTCTGGATGCTGATTTATGGCAAGAAGCTATCAATGATGATATATAATCTCTATAATCTAACAAGACCTGACACTTAGTAGGCTTGCCTCATGGTTGCAAACCAATCGCTTGTAAATGGGTTTTGAAAAAGAAACTAAAACCTGGTGGAACTATTGATAAATACAAGTCTCGCCTTGTTGCAAAGGGTTTTAGACAAAGAGAAAATATATATTTCTTCGACACCTTTTCTCCTGTCACTAGAATTACATCCATTAGGGTACTTATTTCAATAACTGCTATTTATAACTTAATAGTACACCAAATGGATGTTAAAACAACTTTTTTAAATGGTGACTTAGAAGAAGAAATCTATATGGAACAACCGAAAGGGTTTGTGATCCATGGACAAGAAAACAAGTTCTGTAAGTTAGATAAGTCTTTCTATGGGCTAAAACAAGCTCCAAAGCAATGGCATGTAAAGTTTGATAACTTAATGATATCGAATGGATACAAAGTGAATGAAAGTGAAAAATACGTTTATTACAAATTTGAGAATTACATTTGCACTATCATATGTATATATGTAGATGATCTACTCATATTTGGATCAAACATTCAGGCCATCAATGATATGAAATTATTGTTGTGCAACAACTTTAATATGAAAGACCTCGGAGAAGCGAGTGTGATTATTGGTATCAAGATCACGAGATCCGAGCAAGAAATTTCTTTGGATCAATCACAATATGTAAAAAAGATCTTAAAGAAATATAATCACTTTGACAGTAAACCCGTGAGCACACCAAATGATCCAAGCGTGAAGCTGTTTAAGAACACTGGTGAAAGTGTTAGACAAACAGAATATGCGAGCATCATTGGAAGTCTTAGGTATTCTATTGATTGTACTAAACCCGGCATTACATATGTCGTGGGATTGTTTTGCGGGTTTACTAGTAGACCGAGTAATGAACATTGATAAGCTATTGAGCGAGTCATATGGTACCTTAAAAGGACCATGAATCTCGGTTTACATTATCAGAGATTTCCTGTTGTACTTGAAGGATACAATAATGCAGATTGGAATACCTTATAAAATGATTCCAAAGCAACTAGTGGCTATGTATTCAACATAGCTAAAGGAGTTGTATCTTGGAAATCAAAGAAACATATTATCCTAAGAATATAGCATTAGCGACTGCTAGTGAAGAAGCAAGTTGGTTAAGATGCTTGCTAAATGAGATTCCCTTATGAGAAAAACATATGCCAGTTATGTTGATCCACTGTGATAGTACCGCGACTATTGCAAAAATCGAGAACCGTTATTATAATGGTAAAAAATGTCAAATTAGAAGAAAGCACAGCACTGTTAGAGATTGCATCTCTAAAGGAGCTGTGAGAGTGGATCATGTACGCACTGATGAAAATTTAGCAGATCCTTTGACGAAAGGATTAGCTAGAGAGAAAGTCTATAATACATCATATAAGATGGGACTAATTCCTATAGGAAAATGAGTTGCTCATGATGGTAACCTGACATAAATGACCGGAGATTCCAAGAAATAGGTTCAATGGGTAACAACAAGTTGTGAGTAATATGAGATGATCATGCAAGTAAAGCATGAATCCTGAAGTAATAAGAGGATGAGATGATAGGAACTCTTAATGAGATCTATACTCTGTATGAGTGAGTATCTAGGCTACATGAGTACTCTTGATATACTCACCTATGTGATTGTGGAACTTAGGCCGGTTTCTATGGAATTTCGAGGCAGAATTCCTAGAGCCTTCATTAAACTGCGATACACATGCAGGGCCATTAAAGCACGGGCTATTAGAATACACCTTAAGAAAAGGTTGTTTGCGGGTTTGATGTCTGAGATAGAGTTCAAGACATTTGCATCACTCTTGTTGAATTGGAGTCCTACTTGCTATGCAAAGGTTCAAGTCGTAGACACTTTTGTTTATGCACAATCTTAGAAACGTTTGACGTTACTTCTAAAATCAATTTTTTAAATTCAAGTGGGGGATTGTTGGAACATGTCCATGTTCCAAAATGTTAAATTTAAAAATGTCTAAAGTCCCACATTGTTAGAATATCTCTTTGGTTGAAAAAAACCATTTAGTCCCACATTGCTCATGTGAGAAATATTAACTACCTTACTTCACTATA